GTGTGTTACTTTGAGCCATAAACAATTTGGAATATTTCATGCAGTAATTGATTGATATCAATTTGTTTGCATGGCTCCAGTTCTATTATGGTCGGAGGTTGTGCTGACTCCGGCAACTCTGACCGGCAGCAAGTTCGTCTGGAGCAACGGAGCAGAAGTTACCGCATCGGGTGTGTTTGTGGACGGAACTACGTTCATCAACAACCCATATACAGGTTATGGACCAATTGTCTTGATGGACCATGCATACAACCTCTGGAAGTCCAAGCAGGTGCAATTTTACAATTACCCTGTTCTTTGCAAGAAAATTTAGATTAGTGAACGACTTAAGAATTTAAAAGCAAATAAAATGGCCAGAAAATTTACCGTTTCTTTAAATGTGAAAACATTTCTGGGTCCAACTCCATCGTCAGTTCAAGATCCTATCAGACAAGCAGAATCAACAAGGAAACTAAAATTCACAATGAAGATTAATACCTTAATAAAAGAAAACGGAAATTAACATGATGTGAAAGGCCAATCTACGTATTTACAATTTCTAGGGTATAGGCGCTGAAGGCGACATTTAAACTAGGTTTTTGTTTAAAAATATTCAGGGATTCTAAGATTCGTAGGTCAGAAACACCGGTCGTGAAAGCTAGAAATCTAAAATCTACCAGACACCGGGAGGGACATTGCATTGCTCGGCATGGACGCGCACAGCTGAATGAGGAGGATGCGCAAGCAAGGTTCCCGATCTATAACTTCTGCCCTTATGCTCCGCCAGCCTAGTATAAAAATTGCGAGACGTCATGCCGACGTACGCTGATGCTTATTGCACATAACATAAACTATAGGTACGAACGTATAAAAAGCAGACGAGTTTCTTTATACGTACTTGTATATACGAGCCAATTTTGAAATTATTCACCCACACAACGTGCAGATTAACATTTGGAAGGTATTTAGTGAATAAAATAATATTTTTTTCCTGAGATTTTCAATTTTGTCACTTTAGGTTTTATTTTCAACGTGAATTTTAGTTTCCTAATTGATTCTGCTTTTCTTATACGATTTTGACCAGACGATGGAGCTGGAGTCCGAAACGTTTTCTGATGTAAAGAAATCGTAGATTTTCTGATTATTTTCTTTGCTTTTAACTTCTTAGTGAATTTGCGATCTGAGCAGTCAAGTGATCTTACTGATTGAGTTTTGTTGAAAGCATTAATCATAGAAGTGACTAGAAGACCCTTTCTTGACCAGATTGAGAGATGCCGAATTGAGATTGAGAGATGTTCGAATTAATAACACAGTTAATGAGTCTCAACATGTTCGAATTAATAACACAATCAATTAGTATTAATATGCTCAAATTAATAAAGCAATGAGGAGTAATATGTTCAAATTATTAACGCAATCAATGAGTAGTAATATAATATGTTAGAAAAAATAACACAATGCAATCAACCACTAGCAATGTGTTTGAATTAATAATGCAATCTGTGATAATTTATTTCATTTAATATCGCAATCAATCACTTGTGACCAGCTTGAAATAATTAAATCCTTAATCATAAATAATCTGTTTTAATTAATATGATATGTAACCAATAGTAATCTGTTTTAATTAATTTGAAATGGAGCCATAGTAATCTGTTTGAATTAATATGACATGTAACCACAATATTAATATGTTTGAATTAATATGAAATGTTACCATTAGTGATCTGTTCGAATTGATATAATATCTAACCACTTGTAACTTGTTTGAATTAATATGATATGTAACCACTTGTACCCTATTTAAATTAATATGATATGTTACCTATAGTAATCTGTTTGAATTACTATATGTAACCACTATTAATCTGTTTGAATTAATACGATATGTAACCACTTGTAACCTTCTTGAATTAATATGATATGTAACCACTTGTCACCTGTTTGAATAAATATGATATGTTACCACTAGTAATCTGTTTGAATTAACATGATATGTTACCACTTGTAACCTGTTTGAATTAACATGATATGTTACCACTTGTAATCTGTTTGAGTTTATAAAAATTATGATATTTAACTACTATCAATCTGTTTGAATTAATGTGATATGTAACCGCTATTAATCTGTTTGAATTATTATGATATGTAACCACTTGTAACCTGTTTGAATTAATACGCTATGTAACCACTATTAATCTGTTTGAATTAATATGATATGTAACCACTAAATTAGACAAACTTAATTATACTAAACATTGGTGATAATTAGACAAACTTACTTATACTATACATTGGTGATAATTAGACAAACTTAATTATACTCATGTAACAACTAGTATTCTGTTTGTAATCGTGTAATCGTCAATTTTAAGTGATCTGTCTGAAATAATATAACAGGAAATAAATATCAATAAACTGGTATCCAATGTGCGAGTCCTATCAATAATTTCAGAGCTCATCCCTAACCTAACCTAACCATATCAAACCTCTAACCATATGTAACAAACCTAGCCTAATCTATACATAACCTGACTAAACAGAATTTCGCATAACCTAGCCTAGCCCTAACTATAGGTATGACAAATCTAGCCGAAGCTATATATAGCCTGACTAAACAGAACTTCACCTAACCTAACCTAGCCCTAACTATAGCACAAACCTAGCCTAACTTTTATATAACCTGACTAAACAGAAATTCACCTAAAGTCTAATCTATATATATCCCGACTAAACAGAACTTCGCCAAACCTAACCTAGCCCTAACTACATAACAAACCTAGCCTAAATTTCATATAACCTGACTGGACAGAACTAATCGAATCGGAAAATCGGAATTATTTCCAACTCTGAGTCAATCTCTATTAAATAAATAAGGAACAAGGTACGACATGATTTATTTCTTCACTTACATCACGGTAAATTACGTGTGATTGAAATTGACTAGCAGAATAATTCGAATTAATTTTCAAGTATTTTTCAAATACAAAAGACCCGCTTGCTAGATAACGAAGGTCTGTTCAAGAGTTAAAAAAAGTTCCACTTGTTGCAATAAAAGGTAGAAGAACGTCTAAACAAATGCACGGGTCCTCGGTTTGTCTAAGGAGCTACACTTGATAACAGAAATTGCACATGTGAAATGAGTGACAGCGCACCTGTCGAGTTGAACGTCTCACCACAGCTCGTATAGTGACGCCGCTATATGAACGCCATCGTATGAACATCGCCCGCAGCAGTTCATGTAGTGACGCCGCTATATGAACGCCATCGTATGAACATCGCCCGCAGCAGTTCATATAGTGACACTGTTATATGAACGCCGTTGTATGAACATCGCCCGCAGCAGTTCATATAGTGACACTGTTATATGAACGCCGTTGTATGAACATCGCTCGCAGCAGTTCATGTAGTGACGCCGCTATATGAACGCCACCGTATGAACATCGCTCGCAGCAGTTCATATAGTGACGCTGCTATATGAACGCCGTCGTATGAACATCGCCCGCAGCAGTTCATGTAGTGACGCCGCTATATGAACGCCATCGTATGAACATCGCCCGCAGCAGTTCATATAGTGACGCCGCCATATGAACGCCGTTGTATGAACATCGCCCGCAGTAGCATTTCATAGTTGATCTTAATTGAATGAAGTGTACGTCAAACATTCGTTTGTACGTGGGACATTCTTGTTCACCTCAGGCAGATACTTGAATGGTTCCTGTCTATTTACTAATTCTGTACAGAAAGTATTTTCAAAATATGGTTTTTGGAATAATAATTGAAATTAAGCGGAAAGATTGTAAAACTAAGTGTGAGGTTGAATGAAGTTGTTGAAGAAAGCTATTGAAGATTTAGCTGTCGAAATAACAGCGATAATTTCTAAATTCGTCTTTGCGTAAGACGATACAATAATACTTGTGGAAGAGTGATTCACCTGAAATGTTTCATTTTATCTCAATTAAAAACTTTAACGGTACCTGCAGTATGTTGTTCGCTGCCGCCATTGCAGCTCTTGCGATTGCTGTAAGAGGCGCCACAGTGCGGCGATCTGCCGGCATTTGAGCCCCGCCAGACTAAGTTTCCTAAATTTAATAAATTTACTGAATTTATTATATTTGCTAAATTTACAACATTTTTTTATATATACAAAATTTATTATATTTACTAAATTTATTGAATTTATTTAATTTGCTAAATTTATGAAATTTTCTAAATTTATGACATTACTAAATTTATTAAATTTATTAAATGTAAAAGGTATTAAATTTATAAAATTATTAAATTTGGTAAATTTAGTTAATTTAGTAAATGTATTAAATTTACTAATTGGTTAAATTTAGTTACATTGATATATTTACTAAATTTATCAAAATTAGTAAAGTTAAATAATTTATTAGATTTACTAAATTTATTAGGTCTAATAAATTAGTAAATGTAATTAATTTAGTAAATTGAATGAATTTAGACAATATATTAAATAAAGTAAATTTTATTAAATTTACCTAATTTTGAAAAATTTATTAAATTTAATAAATATATGAAATTTCCTACATTTATTAAATGTGCAAAATGTAATAAATTTACTAAATTTAATAAATCTTATAATTTAAGTAAATTTAATAAAATTATTAAAGTTAATAAATTTATTAAATTTGTTTAACTTATTAGATTTACAAAATTCATAATATATACTATATTCATTAAATTTATAAAATTTACTCAATTTACAAAATTTATTAAATTTACTAAATTCATTAAGTTTCCCAAATTTTATACATATACTAAATTTATTAAATTTCCTGAAGGTAATAAAGTCATTAATTTAGTAATTCTAATGAATTAAGCAAATTTATCAAATTGACCATATTCTAAATATTCACTGCTGTGCTGCAGGCACTTGAGTACACGCGTGTTAGCGGCCCTGGCCGGCGCTGTTGCGGCGCAGCAACACGGCCGGGGAGAGGCGCTCAGTTCACTTGACCGCCACACGGCAAGTGACTAACGCCTTGGCGGTGGACAGAATGGTCGCCACGTTGGCGGTGGACAGAATGGCCGCCATGACGGCGGTGGACAGAATGACTATACACGGTGACGGTGGACAGAATGGCCGCCACATGGGCGGTGGACAGAATGGTCGCCACGGTGGCGGTGGACAGAATGGCGTACACGGTGGCGGTGGACAGAATGGAGGCCACGGTGGCGGTGGACAGAATGGAGGCCACGGTGGCGGTGGGCAGAATGGCGTACACGGTGGCGGTGGGCAGAGTGGTCGCCACGGTGGCGGTGGACAGAATGGCCGCCACGATGGCGGTGGAGAGAATGGCTGCCATGATGGCGGTGGACAGAATGGCCATCACGATGCTGCATATCACAATAGCCGCCGCCATGCTGCATATAGCAACGAACGACGGTTTGGTTTGGCAGTTCCAAGATCGCGCGTAGAATAAAAAATTAGATCAGTACTCACTGCAGTGAGTGGCAGAGAGCGCATTTTCTCGTGCATAAATCAGTTTTCATTGTGAAACTATAATCTAAATCACGACACGTTTTAAAGTATTCTTAAAATCGACGAAAACGTGAAGTCATGGACGGACGGATGGACGGACATGGGCACAATAGCGCCTTTTTGCATTAATGAAAAAATGCGCTAGAAAGGCCGACCATATATTGCAAATAAATTTTTAACGTTTATTTAAGAAAAATTATCGCCAAATGATAAAATATGATAAAACTATGCTCTATTTTACTTCCGATTTTCGGGAGAAGGAATTTCATGACCGTCAGGGTAGGATGAAAGATATAAGGTAGTATTTCCTAGTACCAACTAAGGTTGCCACTATGTATAAATACGAGTACGTTACTAAACTTTAGGGATATTGTAAATCACTGTCTACGTGTTTGATAGTTGGAATGTTATTATTTATTAACATATACTATTGAATGCTCTATTTCTACACTTGAACTTCAAGAACAGCATCAACATGCATACTGTTCATGGCTGCAGTGTTCATGAGATCGAACATACAGTCTGTCCTGATCTCTAATAACAATGGTTGAGACATGTTTTCTGTGTCATGCTCGAATATTCAACGAATTTCCAACTTCCACTAGCGCTCGCTTATTACATATTTATTGCATTGATGATAAATATATATTGTCATTATTATGAGGCATTACCTTTTTGATAATTCAAGACTGGGTATCTCACACTGAATATTTAAGCCTGGACCAGCGTAAAAGAAAATAAACGTAGCTCACATCGACCACCATCACCTGGATAGAAAGTGATGGACGATGATGGGAGCCGGATACATTACTGTAATTTCTTGAATCCACATTCATGACTTGTAATCAGCATCTTGATGCCTTTCAATTGATGTGAATACAATATAATTGACTGGATTATAAAACAAGAACTCGGCCAAGCAGGCGTCAGTCGATGAGAGTCACTCCTGAGATTAGGAATTTCATTGAGTCACTCGATCAAGCTCGGAACTTTATCAAGCCACTTAAGTTCGTGAGTTCATCGAGTCGCTCAAGTTGGGAACTTCGTCGAGTTATTCAAGTTTGGAAGTTCATCGAGTCACTCAAGTTTGGAACTTCATCGAATCGCTCAAGTTCGGAACTTCATCGAGTCACTCAAGCTCGAAACTTCATCGAGTCACTCAAGCTCGGAACTTCATCGAGTCGCTCAAGCGCGGCATTTCATCGAGTCACTCAAGCTCGGAACTTCATCGAGTCACTTAAGTTCGAAAGTTCTTCGAATCACTCAGGCTCGGAACTTCATCGAGTCACTCAAGTTCAAAACTTCATCGAGACGCGCGAGGTGAGATTAGTTATTTTCAAAGTCTAAACTTCGATAAGATTAATTGCGCTGTAACGCCTTTTGTGTGGTATTAAATTTTCAAAATTTGTTGCGTCACGCATGTATTAATTGTGTCGAAGAAATTACACGGGTGAAGACTCGTACCCAAACACAGACCAGTATTGCTTCTTCAGTGATCCTGTAACGTGGAAGCACAGTAAACCAACTAAATATAGCATACATACATAAATATAAACTATATGAGAGCATCTGCCTGGGGTAGCTTGAATGGGAAATAATATTTATAGTAACTTGTACATACATGATAAGTCTCTGTGTTCGAGAGTACCACAACTGACTAATACCTCACTGCCGTACTCGTAAGAATTTAAATCAAATAATGTTATTTAAAATTCGTCGCAATTTATGTAAAACGTCAATTTATTAATTAGGACATAATCAGCTGTCATACAGCGCTAATGAATCTCACCCGACCTTTATTAATTATTGACACCGATGACATAACCGGATGCTCAAGATACACTTGCGCCGTCTTGGATGATATTAAACGGAATTGATGAGATCGATGAACTACCAAACTTCGTCAGGGTTATAAAAAATGGCCAAATAATAAAGACCTTCTTATATTTGGCAGGACTTTGCATTGCATTACCTTATTACATGTCATGAAAGAAACACGACATTGTCATGTAATATGCGCATTTCTCGTATTCACGAGTTTGCGTAAGTGAAAGTTTTTAAGCGAAATTAGAGTATACGATCGCAATTAGAGTATCGCAATTAGAGTATACCTGTATGCGACCGCAATTAGAGTATCGCAATTAGAGTATACCTGTATACGATCGCAGAGTATCGCAATTAGAGTATACCTGTATACGATCGCAATTAGAGTACCACAATTAGAGTATACCTGTATGCGATCGCAATTAGAGTATCGCAATTAGAGTATACCTGTATACGATCGCAGAGTATCGCAATTAGAGTATACCTGTATACGATCGCAATTAGAGTATCGCAATTAGAGTATACAGGAACATTTTTTGCGCGCATGCGGAAATGCCCATGCAATTCCCAACATTTTTTTGCATACGGAAATGCCCAAGGACGTATAAAATTTTCAAGCACGGTCAGATGATTTTATTTAATTCTTTTAGCTTGTCGTAAATCTAAGAAATGATTTTAACATTTAGTTAGCGTCCAGTGTCCATCCAGTATCTTAATTGGTTTCAACACATTTCAACATTTTGCTTGCTATTTATCTTATGTGTGACGTGCCCTCGAAGTTCGTTTGAACCAGACGCCACGATAAATGCTTCGTAGAATAATAAAGATAATAATAATAATAATAATAATAATAATAATAATAATAATAATAATAATAATAATAATGATAATAATAATAATAATAATAATATTAATAATAATAATAATATTAATAATATTTCCACTCTTGTCTTTGAAAAATAGTTACTCAAAAATAAGGCACCCGAATTTATTTAAAAGTTACAAAAATTTGCCTCGTTGTGACGCTCCGTCGTTATCCTCTAGTCAAATAACGTTTAAATAAGCTTGATCAACGTAAATACAACGTTTGAACAATGCTGATTCAACGTCAGATGCTTGATGAGTCAGATGTATAATGTAAACCTCTGGAGGAATCAACAGCCTGTTTGAATTCCAATATACGAATTAGGAAAAATTAACTAAAAATTACGGCGCAAAGATGAGATGAACAAAGGCCAGCTGTACTTACAACCCCTGGCAAAAATTAGGGAATCACCGGCCTCGAAGGATGTTCATTCAGTTGTTTAACTTAGTAGAAAAAAAGCAGATCACAGACATGACACAAAACTAAAGTCATTTCAAATGGCAACTTTCTGGCTTTAAGAAACACTATAAGAAATCATGAAAAAGTTGTGCTGTCGGTAACGGTTATTTTTTTTGACCAAGCAGAGGGGAAAAAATATAACTCAGTACTCACTGCAGTGAGTGACAGAGGGCGCATTTTCTCGTTGGCGAAAACTTGAGGTCACGGACGGACGGACAGAAGGACAGATAGACGGACATGGCGAGTACAATAGTGCATTTTTTCCATAAATGAGAAAATGCGCTAAAAATATGGAATCACTCAATTCTGAGGAAAAAATTATGGAATCATGAAAAACAAAAGAACACTCCAACACATCACTAGCATTTTGTTGCACCACCTCTGGCTTTTATAACAGCTTGCAGTCTCTGAGGCATGGACTTAATGAGTTACAAACAGTACTCTTCATCAATCTGCCTCCAACTTTCTCTGGTGTTTTGCAGGTTGGAGCCTTGTCATGGACCATTTTCTTCAACTTCCACCTAAGATTTTCAATTGGATTAAGATCCGGACTATTTGCAGGCCATGACATTGACCTTATGTGTCTTTTTTCAAGGAATGTTTTCACAGTTCTTGCTCTATGGCAAGATGCATTATCATCTTGAAAAATGATTTCATCATCACCAAACATCTTTTCAATTGATGGGATAAGAAAAATGTCCAAAATATCAACGTAAACTTGAGCATTTATTGAAGATGTAATGACAGCCATCTCCCCAGTGCCTTTACCTGACACGCAGCCCCATATCATCAATGACTGTGGAAATTGGCATGTTCTCTTAAGGCAGTCATCTCTATAAATCTCATTGGAACAGCACCAAACAAAACTTCCAGCACCATCACCTTGCCCAATGCAGATTCGAGATTCATCACTGAATATGACTTTCATCCAGTCATCCACAGTCCACGATTGCTTTTCCTTAGCCCATTATAAGATTGTTTTTTTTTTCTGTTTTGGTGTTAATGATGACTTTCGTTTAGCTTTTCTGTATGAAAATCCCATTTCCTTTACGCGGTTTCTTACAGTTCGGTCACAGACGTTAACTCCAATTTCCGTTAAGCATTGGATGGGATAATCTTGACATTAGTGATGTAAATCATCGTTGCTAACGTCACTCACATATAACGAATAATTTTTACAGAGGAGAAAAGAGATCAATTATTGTCGTCGTAAGTCTCGAGCGCTCGTACGATATTCCTTCACAATGCAAGCTACTATGAAAGTCAGAGAAGATCATCTGAATAATGGATGAATACTTTGAGTAATAATATGGCACTTCATGCCACTGTGAATGATGGATATAGTGTGAGTAATAATAGGGCACTTTTGGCCACTGTGAATGATGAATAGTGTGAGTAATAATATGGCACTTCATGCCACTGTGAATGATGAATATAGTGTGAGTAATAATATGGCACTTTTGGCCACTGTGAATGATGAATACTTTGAGTATTAATATGGCACTTTTGGCCACTGTGAATGATGAATACTTTGAGTAATAATACGGCTTTTCTGGGCACTGTGAATGATGAATAGACATTCATCATTTATCGATCATGGCAATCATTAGCTCGACGTTCTGGACGAGCTTCCAATGACAGAGAGCGCTCAACGTCTTAGCAGTTATTTATGTGAAATTGAATGAGGATTTGTTTTAAACCTTTTCGAGGCCGTATATTATCCAAAATTGTTACGAGTTCGTAATTCCGTTATTTTTTACCACGTTTTTCTTCTTTTCGCTTCGTGTCCGTCT